GATCCTTGGAGAGGTGCAACCCACCACATGCATCCTAGACCCCTGCCCATCCTGGCTGATCAAGGAAGCCAGAGGGGGTTTGGCGGAGTGGGTGAAGGTGATGGTTAATGCCTCCTTACAGGAAGGAAAATTTCCAGCGAGCTTAAAACAAGCTATTATAAAACCGCTGTTGAAGAAACCATCACTGGATCCCACTCAATTCGACAACTATCGGCCAGTTTCCAATCTTCCCTACTTGGGCAAAGTCATGGAACGTGTGGTGGCAACACAACTCCAGGGGTTTCTGGTAAACACTGATTATCTGGATCCGGCACAGTCTGGCTTTAGGCCGGGACATGGAACTGAGACAGCCTTGGTCGCCTTGGTAGATGATCTTCGTAGTGAACTGGACAGGGGGAGTGTGTCCCTGTTAGTTCTGCTGGACCTCTCAGCGGCTTTCGATACCGTCGATCACGGTATCCTTCTGGGTCGCCTCATGGATATGGGGCTCGGGGGCACCGCTTTGCAGTGGCTCCGATCCTTCCTTGAGGGACGGACCCAGAAGGTGTTATTGGGTGACACCTGTTCGGCCCCACAACCGTTATTGTGTGGAGTCCCACAGGGTTCAATTTTGTCCCCGATGTTATTTAACATCTACATGAAGCCGTTGGGAGAGATCATTCGGAGTTTCGGAATGAGATGTTATCTCTACGCAGATGATGTCCAAATCTGTCACTCCTTTCCACCTGTCACCAAGGAGGCTGTCCAGACCTTGAACCGGTGTTTAGCTGCTGTATCAGACTGGATGAGAGCTAACAAATTGAAATTGAATCCAGACAAGACAGAGGTCCTACTGGTCAGTCGTAAGGCCGAACAGGGTATAGGGTTACAGCCTGTGTTAGACGGGGTTACACTCTCCCTGAAGACACAGGTTCGCAGCTTGGGAGTGATCCTGGACTCATCGCTGAGCCTGGAACCCCAGGTCTCAGCGGTGGCCAGGAGAGCTTTCGCACAATTAAAACTTGTGCGCCAGCTGCGCCCGTACCTTGAGAAGCCAGATCTGGCCACGGTGGTCCACGCTCTTGTCACATCCCGGCTGGATTACTGCAACGCACTCTACGTGGGGTTGCCTTTGAAGACTGCTCGGAAACTACAACTAGTCCAGCGAGAAGCAGCCAGATTGCTCACCGGAGCGACGTACAGGGAGCATACAACCCCCCTGTTGCGTCAGCTCCACTGGCTGCCGATCCAATTCCGAGCACAATTCAAAGTGCTGGTTTTGACCTACAAAACCCTATACGGTTCCGGCCCAGTGTATTTGTCTGAACGGATCTCCCTCTACGTCCCACCTCGAAGCTTAAGATCTTCTGGGGAGGCCCTGCTCTCGACCCCGCCACTGTCACAAGTGAGGCTGGCGGGGACGAGGAGCAGGGCCTTCTCAGTGGTGGCCCCCCACCTGTGGAACTCACTCCCCGGGGAGATTAGATCGTCATCTTCCCTTTTGGCATTTAGGAAAAAACTGAAGACCTGGATCTGGGATCAAGCCTTTGGTCATTCTGACAGCTAACTGAAGGATCTGATGATAGACAAGGACAAATGGAATGGAATGGATATATGGACTCTGAACCCTGAGCATGAGACTGTTTTTATTATTTTATTATGTACTGATGTTTTTAATTAATTGTTGAATTGTTTGTATTTGTATTGCTTGTGAATTGTTTTGGGCATCTAATTGTGCCCCCACTGTAAGCCGCCCTGAGTCCCCCCCGGGGTGAGAAGGGCGGGGTATAAGTAAATGAAATAAATAAATAAATAAATGGGACCTCATCAGACTGACAGTTGGAAAGCAGGGGAAGAAGGAAAAAGTGAAGAGAACCATTCTCCAACGTTCCCTACCATCTTTCCTGTCTTCTGGTATGCGCTCCCATCCCACGTTCCTTTTCCCACTTCCTCTTCATGTTGTTCAGTGAAGCGTTGGGTAACACCCAACTCCTCCAAAGCCACTCTGGACTCTGGGCCCCACTGAATCCCATCAGAAGTTGCCTAACACACACACACATACACACACACACACACACATATATATACTTTATTTGTACCCCACCACCATCAGTCCCAATGGGGCTCAGAGCGGCTTACATGAGGCCAAGCCCAAACAATAATTACATAAAATAAAACCGCAAACGCAAATAATAAACAATAACAACGTAATTACATAAAACAAATGAAAACATAGCAATATAAAATCACAATAGGCACAATCACAATGACAATGGGCGAGCTACATGTAATGGATAAAGGAAAGGCTGATTAAAAACTAATTAAAAACTCAGGCAAGATATGATAGACTCCCTGGGAATCCGTTCCAGTAGCAGGGAGAAACGGGGAGAAAACATAGAGAAGACTGCACCTGATAAGGTCCTTAGACAACTGATGTAAAGTTCAAGCTGCAATCTGACTTGTGACCACATCACAAAGGGCAGATTTTGGTGGCATGTGCTAGTTTTTCCCTACATCATCCACTGAGCCTGACGGCTCCCATCAAACGATGCTGGCGCAGCTCCATGGGTGATGGAGCGGCAACATTGCGGCAACACTGGAGGAAGTGGCACAGTCAATCACTGAATTCTGGAGCCAGGCAATGAGGGCATGCGACGCCGGGTTTACCACACCCCGTGATGATGCAAGGCAATTCCACCGACCGTGTGACAAGGTCATTGGTTTCACCATACTACTTACTTAAAGCCACCCACCATTTTTTTCCAGACTACATAGAGTGGGGGCTCAGAGCTCAGTGTTAGAGCACATGCTTTACATGCAAAGAGCACAGATTTCATTTTAGCACAGTAGTTCCCTGTGGTGGTTCTCTACATACTGTTGGACTACAGCTACCCTGACCATTGGTTAAACTCATTGGGGATTAAGGAATTTGAACTTTAACAGCATATACCAGGCATGGGCAAACTTTGGCTCTCAGGGTGCTTTGGACTTCAACTCCCACAATTCTTAACAGCCTACCAACTGTTAGGAATTGTGGGAGTTGAAGTCGAAAACACCAGGAGGGGCAAAGTGTGCCCATGCCTGGCATATAGAGAGTAAAGTGTTAATACAAAAACCTTATTCCTGAGATTCTAAGAGGTTGAGACCTCACAACCTCTGAGGATGCTTGCCATAGATACAGGTGAAACATCAGGAGAGAATGCTTCTAGAACATGGCCATATAGCCCGAAAAACCTACAACAATGCAGTGATTCCAGCCATGAAAATCTTCGACAATACATTTTCTAATATATTCTAAGAATTGTATTTCTGTTTGCACTTTTACAATAGAATGGGGGTTGTTATGTTCCTTAGAGATGGAAGGATTACAGTGCTACTGAGTCAGTATGGGAAACATGATGCTGAGCTAGCTAAGTCTTTGGTATGATAGAGAATATCTACATAATCTACTTCCAAAGGAGAGACAAAAAATCTTGTGAACTGGCATTGCATGACAAGATATCCTTTCTGTCCCTGGATGTTACTTTAAGGACAGTAGACTCGTTTTTAATTTACCTATTTCATATCCTCTCCAAAATTTCACAGGATCCTGCTTTTTCTTATCCTCTTCCTGCTGCTCAGTTAACTGGGTTACAAACTATTTTTGTGCTTAGAGTTCAGTTTGCAGCAACTGAAAAAAGGTAAGGTTAAGGGAGAAACTGGGAAGAGGAGGAGGAACAAAGTGAGAAACTGTAAAAGCTGGTGGGGAAAAATGGGATAACAGAGGATTAATTGGGACTGTTCTTGCCAAACTGGGACAGTCGGAGAATATATTAATGTTCATTTATTTTCATTTATTGTTATTATGTGCCTTCAAATCATTTCTGATGTATAGTATATTAGTGACTCTATTCCAGATATTTCTTTGCAAAATTTCTTCCGAGGAGGTTGTTCATAACTTTCGTTGAGGCTGAGAGTGTGTGACTTCTCCTAGGGCCATTCAGTGGTTTTCCATGGCTAAACCAGGATTTGAACCCTGAACCGCTGGAATCCTACTCCAGCATTTAAACCACTGCACCACACTGGATCACTATTTTATTTACATTTACTTTGATTTGATCTAGGACAGTGGTTCCCAACCTGTGGTCAGTGGATCACCAGTGGTCCGCACAATCTCAAATATGGTCCACAGCCTCACTGTTACTACACTGTTGCAATGACAGCAACTGGCCTTGAGACCCCCCCCCCCCCTATAGTGCTGAGGCTTATTAAATATGGTTTTCTGTGGGCGAACAGGTGGCCTAAATAAATGAATAAATAAATAAACTGCTATGATTCTACAGTGTGGATGCAGCCTTGTTAAATCTTGAAGGTGATTGTGGAACAACGGATCTCTCCCTATGAACCACCTTGGAGCTTAAGTTCAGCTGCGTAGGCCCTGCTCTCAGTCCCGCCTCTTTTACAGGTGCGACTGGTGGGGATGAGAGACAGGGCCTTCTTGGTGGTGGCCCCTCGGCTGTGGAATTCCCTACCCAGGGATATTAGATCAGCCCCCTCCCTCCTGTCCTTCTGTAAGAAAGTAAAATGTGGCTTTTTGATCAAGCCTTTGGGGATCTTATGAAATAGATACATATGGAATTACTGTATGTGCAATGACTATTGGAACAGCCCAGACTATGGCTTTGGATAATGTGGTTAACAGTGAAGGCATTGTTTTATATGTTTTACATATTTTAATGTATTTTATAATTCTATTTAAATGTTTTTAATTGTATATTGTTTTTTGAAGACATCAAATAGTTGCCTGTGTAAGCGGCCTTGAGTCCCCTCCCCCCCCCCCCCCCCCCCCCCCCCCCCCCCCCCCGGGGTAGAGAAAGACAGGGTAGAAATGTTGTAAATAAATAATAAATAAATTTGGTTCCTCAAATGTTTTCTTTTCTTATTTTTGCAAAGTCAAAGTGCTAAAAAGAAACCTTCCAGCATTCCACTGTTTCATAGCATGTGACTTACAGCTTCTTTTCTCCTCTCTCTTTCAATCTAAGTCTTCAGCCTTGTGGCTTTAACATCTTGGCAGTAAACATCCGCACATATTGCATAACATTGGACTGTAAAGATGAGAGTGTCAGGTAAGAAAAGTTACCACATTCCTTAATGCAAAGTCTTGTCAACTGTGTTTTCACCTCCCCAAGTTGGATGTTACAAAGCTCAATAAAATAGAAAAGGTATTTACTAGCAGGAGGGAGGGAAGGCATATCAGTGTCCACAGGACAACCTTGCACAGCTAGCACTGAGAATACTAAGCAAACAGGAAAACCCAGGGCCCTTCCAAACAGCCCTATATGCCAGAATATCAAGGCAGAAAATCCTACAATATCTGCTTTGAACTGGATTATCTGAGTCCACACTCAGATAATGTGGGATTTTCCACCTTGATTTTCTGAGGGCTGTGTGGAAGAGCCCTGGGTTTTCCTGTTTGCTTAGTATTCTCAGTGCTAGCTGTGCAAGGTTGTCCTGTGGACACTGATATGCCTTCCCTCTCTTTAGTGGAGCTCATTATTGGAATGCTAGCATCTAAGGTTCAAAAGATCATGTAGGAGGCGGGGCTTTTTGTCCTAATACCATGCCAGTCAGAACAAACAGTATTCAGGTCTATGAATGTTGCTTAAGCTGCTATAAAGCCACTTTCTATGTTCTTTGGCCAAAAGAGACGTACTACTCTAACTGAATTTGCAGAACTGGGGTTGGGCCCTTGTTTTTATAGTTTTATTACCTTACACACCTAGCTTTGTTTTTCTTGCTTTACTATATACAACATTTCTACCCCCTCCTGCTCTTCTCCCAAAATATGATTCCATCTCCACCTTCTGGCTTAGGTGTACTGCGGATTGCTGCCTTGCTGTTCACCTTATTCGCAACCTGGCTTTTTGCCAGTGCCTATTTCAACCACATGTCTGTGAAATCCATCAACATAAGGAGCTGGCTAGGTAAGTCACCCTCCCAATCTGAGCACATCTGTCCCATCCATATCAATCTCATTTAAGGAAAAAAGCACAATTGGATGCAAGTAGTCCTTAGATGGAGAAGCATAAGGAAATAGCATGGATTTGCATGTACGATAGGAAAGACTCTTGCCTGGAACCCTAGAGACACAGTGCTACCTTGCCTTGAGCCATGAGAAGTGGCAGATAACATTATTATTATTATTATTATTATTATTATTATTATTATTACCACCACCCATTGGAGTTGACAGTAAAGGACTAGTTGCACCTACTGGCTGATTCTGAATAAGGAATAATCACATTTTGTTATTGCTTTTGTTCTACACCTGGACTTTCCCAGTCTCAACCAAGAAACAGCAAAAAGGTAGAGAGTAGGAGCATTTCTGACAGTTTCCAGCATTCCCAGTCTAGGACTAAACTGGAAGTCTGGAAAGCATATAAAGGACTACTACAAGATACTTCCTAAGGTTGCCATGTTGTAGCCCAAAGGATATTCTTATCTTAATAACCTGAAGCTGAATGCAACTTGTCTTATTCATTCTTCTAGTGTACAGTCCCAGAACAGGTATTGTCTCCCTTCTCCAAGTGGTTCATGACACCTGGCACTTTGGAGTTGTGTACAGCACTCTGGACAGCTTCAAAGATCAATCATTAAAGTCCTCTTACATATTACAATGGCAGAATGGGTTAAATTGCTGAGCTGCTGAACACTGACCAGAAGGTTGACAGTTCAGATCTGGGGAGCGGGGTGAGCTCCTGCTACTAGCCCCAGCTTCTGCCAACCTAGCAGTTCAAAAACATGCAAATGTGAGTAGATAAATAGGAACCATTCTGGCAGGAAAGTAATGGCGCTCCATGCAGTCACGTCGGCCACATGACCCTGAAGGCGTCTACGGACAACACCAGCTCTTCAGCTTAAAAATTGAGATGAGCACCACCCTTAGAGTCAGACATGACTAAACTTAATGTCAAGGGGAAACCTTTACCCTTTTATACATTCAAATTTTATCCTATTTTCTAGTTTCCTTTGCACAGGCTTTGAGAAAATGATCACAGGGACAAAGATGAGCAATAGAGATCCTAGGGGCATAGGCAGCCTTTTTGAAGCTTTTTTTTTTACCACCTTCGCCCCCTCCAGTCTTCCTAGATCACCCTTTTTATGTCTAAAGTAGGGAGGAATTACTTCTTCTAAAAGCTCTAGGAAATGTGATTCAGCTTTGAAACAACAAGTACACAATTTTCAAAAAGAAAAGTATAATTCCAGCTGCTTCCAGTTTTGTGTCTGCTATTTTCCAATTTTGGCTTTTGGGCAATCTGTGTGAATCCAGAAGAGTTCCCAGCAAACTCAGATCAGAAGGGCAATTGGGCCTTCAACTCCTCTCAAGATTAGTTGGGGGTTTACCTCCCTCCCAAAATGATCTTGTGAAATTAGTCTAATAGGATTCCTCCAGAGTGGATTCTCCTTTATCAACCAGAAGACTACCAAACCAGCATGTTTTCAGCTGTTGTGTATTTTATAGGCAAAACAAGAATCCCTCAAATCTGCTTTATTTTTTTCAAAACATTGGTAATCTGGATTTTTATTTTTATTTTTTTTTTTGGATTCAGATGCCACATGTAAGGATCCCAACAGCCATGTATAGCTTACAGATTCAGCTTGACATTAAAGGATGACTTAGGGTATATCTACTAATATATTATAGATTTAATGTGGTTTGATACTACTTTAATTGCCATGGCTCAATACTATGGGATTTTGTGATTTGCAGTTAGGGAGGTGCCTGCACTCTTTGATAGAGAAGGCTAAAGATCTGTAAAACTATAGCTCCCAGCACTGAGCCATGGCAGTTAAAGTGGTGTCAAACCGCCCCAGTTCCACAACTTTCATTTCATTTGTATTTCTTTTTTAAAAAAATCTCAGAAGCTGCCTTGACTCCCAGTTTTCTGGAAAGGGCTGGTAGTGGGCATAAATAAAGCTATGCAGTACAGTTCAGTCTGGCTAATGCCTCATTCTTCAGGGACCAGAAAAGAGATGTATGAAAAGAAGGCTTTCAGAGATGAGTAGTATCCCTCTTCTAGCAACTAGAAGCATATTACTAGAAGTACATTGCTTATTTTTAAAAGTGTCTCACCTTTAGGAAAATGTTGTGATCCACTGGGGAATTTTCCATGACATATTCACTGGAATGAATAGGAGCAAAATCATTGGCCTTCACTCATGGGTGAGATCTGTAGGACCTTCTGGATGATCTAGGGCTGCAGCACCCAGCAACCCTAGGTAGCATGGCCACTACTGAGAAATGCTGGGAGTTTCAGCCCAATAGCAATAAAATATATAGAGCTGCAATATTGTCACCTCTGCTTTAGCTTCTCTCATTCTCTGGGAATTCAGTGGAAAGGTGTAGTCAAATCAGGTAACATCAACATACCAGTGGGGGCATCCCCTGGGCGATGTCCTTGCAGACAGCCAATTCTCTCACACCTGAAGCAATTACAGATGCTCAGGTTGCTCCTGACACATACTAAAAACCATACCAGTGGTGCTGGGTCCTAAAATGTTAGACAAGTTCTCCCAGGAGTTTTTGTTCATGTTGAATAGCAAAGGGAAGACTGGCAGAGTCACTAAGAGGCCTGTGGAATACACTGGGTGACACCATCAGACACATGTTATTCTTAATACATCTGTTCAAAGAAAAAAGCAATACTATATCCTCTCATGATTTTATTGCTTTTGTTTTCTTGCTCTCTTGACCAGGTGCTGAAAAACCTAAGCCAACAAGTAAGTACCATGCTTTTGTACTTATAGCATAGCAGCAAACTGGGTTGGAATAAGAGGGCACCCAGAACACCACTATCTCGATTAGTAGACTGACAGTAAATGCATGCAGGATTTGCCTCTGTTTACACAAAATAGCAGAACCTGGAAATGTTACTTTAGAGCAATTGTTCCCAAACATTTTCGGTCATGGAACTCTTCAGAAGAAGAGAAGGCTGAGAGGAGACATGATGAGGGCCATAGAAAATTTTTGAGGGGAAGTCATAGGGAGGGGGGAGCAAGCTTGTTTTCCGATGCCCTGGAGACTATGACATGGAACGATGGCTTCAAACTACAGGAAAGGAGATTCCACCTGAACATAAGGAAGAACTTCCTGTGAGAGCTGTTCAGCAGTGGAACTCTCTGCCCCAGACTGTGGTGGAGGCTCCTTCTTTGGAGGCTTTTAAACAGAGGCTGGATGGCCATCTATTAGGGGTACTTTGAATGTGATTTTCCTGCTTCTTGGCAGGGGGTTGGACTGGATGGCTCATGAGGTCTCTTCCAACTCTATGATTCTATGATTCAGAAGACTTTGTCCCCCCATGGAACTCTAATTCTGTCCCTGAATATTGTGAACCCAAAAAGTTCTCCCTCCTCACATCTACTCCTATTGGCTGAGTGTTTTATATAATGTAGTAGGATTGAAAATAAAGAGAAAAATTTAAATACAATCACAGTTTTTTATTTTGGTACAGGAAAATGTTATGATGAATCAAATCATTTAATTTTTGTACTTGAAATAGTTTTGAAATTGCGCTTTGTGTCTGATGGCTGAATATGCAAATTAGGGACGAGATCCAATTTGCTTTTACATTTGTTTTTGGTGTAAGTATAAGCTAAAATGCCTGATTCACATTGATAGGTGGACATAAAGGGAAGCATTGCTCGAACATTTCCGGCTATGCAATCCTACCAAAAAGTTATTGAGAATAGTTATTTGGTAGGATTGCATAGGCGGAAATGTTTTTTAAAATTTCATTTTTAAAGCAATGGTACACCGAATTTCAATACAATAAGTTGTTGTAGGGTTTTTTGGGCTATATGGCCATGTTCTAGAGGCATTTTCTCCTGACGTTTCGCCTGCATCTATGGCAAGCATCCTCGGAGGTAGTCAGGTCTATTGGAACTAGGAAACTGGGTTTATATATCTGTGGAATGACCAGGGTGAGACAAAGAATTCTTGTCTGCTGGAGCTAGGTGTGAAAGTTTCAACTGACCACCTTGATTGACATTTGATGGCCTGGCTGTACCTGGGGAATCAGGCCATCAAATGCCAGGCCATCAAATGCCAATCAAGGTGGTCAGTTGAAACATTCACACCTAGCTCCAACAGACAAGAGTTCTTTGCCCCACCCTGGTCATTCCACAGATATATAAACCCACTTTCCTAGTTCCAATAGACTTCACTACCTCTGAGGATGCTTGCCATAGATACAGGCGAAACGTCAGGAGAAAATGCCTCTAGAACATAGCCCGAAAAAACCTACAACAACCTAGTGATTCCAGCCATGAAAGCCTTCGACAATACATTTTCAATACAGTCTTCACACTCTGGCATGGGCTTTTAAAAAAGATGTTTTGAAAGAATTTAAAGATTTTTTGTGGAACTGCTGTTTTAGAGGACTAAAACTTACAAGGAACTCTAAGAGACACTGGCTGCACCTACACAGTAGAATTAATGCAGTTTGACGCCATTTCAACAGCCATGACTCAATGCTATGGAATCATGAGAGCTGTAGGTTTTTAGCCTTCTCTGCCAAAGAATGCTGGCGCCATGGCATTAAAGTGGTGTCAAACTGCATTAATTCTATAGTGTAGAATTGTAGATGCTACAGTGTAGTTGATGTTTCCTGTGCAAATAAATTATGTGCAAATTTTGTACAGAAAATATCCAAACTGTGAATACTCTGAAAATTTTTCAGATTTTGAACGTTTTTTGTACTGTGGGAAGAAAATTGCTAAAATTACTCACTGTTCCCTCAAACACAGAACTAGCAAATACGTTTATTCATGCTATAAAGCAAAATGCAAAAAGGGTGAGGAACTGAAATAGTAAAAAGAATTCTTAGCCACTTCTCACAAAGATTGAAGTTGGGAATAACAATATATTAAAACACAATGCATTCCATCAATTAAAACATGAGTTTAAAAGAACATATCAATATGTATTAAAACAATCAGTACGTAATTTAAAATTCATAATTTGAGATTCATAGTTTAAAATCATCTACCAGAAGAGAGTATCGTTAGCTTTCCACATTTGCTGAGATAAAGGCACAGACCCTGTGAAAGTGGAAATCCATGAATAAAGAAATTACAAAAAAATAGTGATTAAATTACTAATTTTAATTTTAAAAATTAAAGAAATTACTAAAAAAAAATCCAACTGTGGTGTTGAGGGACAATTCTGAAGGCGCCTTGGACCATGACAAGATTCAATCAGTCCATACTTCAGGAAATAAAGCCTGACTGCTCTCAATGATGCTGGGGAAAATAGAAGGAAAAAGGAAGAGGCACTGACCAAGGGCAAGATGGATGGATGGTATCTTTGAAGTGACTGGCTGGGGTTGGTGACAGCCGACAGGGAGCTGTGGCGTGGGCTGGTCCATGAGGTCATGAAGAGTCGGAAGCAACTGAACAGATAAACAACAACAACAACAAAAAATATCCGAGAGGTCTCTAGGAATGTCTATTTCTTCCAGCCCAATTCTATGGTCAGCTTCTGCTGGAAGCTGAACACAGAATTGCAGTGGAGGATCTAGAGATTCCTAGAGAGAACATTTTTAATCAAATTCAAAAGGAATCAAACCTGCAAAAGTCAGATCCACAAATGTGGAAGGACAACTTTAGTCTCCCACAAAAAAAAAAGCACATCCTAACACCGTATATGAGACCCTTTTGAAAAATGAATTGATGTTTGTGATGGGGTGTTATTAATTGCAGGGCTTGCTTGATATCTTTTCTTTTCTTTTGGGGTCTCCTTTCCCAGAAGGAGCAGTCTTGCGACACAAGTGCAACAACAAAAGAGAGTGTCCCAGCAACACCTTTGCCTTCAAGTTAATCAGTGGTGCAGCCAACGTGGTGGGGCCCTCCATGTGCTTTGAGAACACCATGTAAGTTCTGTGCCAAATATATGCGGCCCTGTTTTCTGTGCATGTGTGTAGTGCCAAGACAGGAATCCTGCTGTCCTTCACAATATTGTCTGACTGCAAGTCCCAGGCTTATTCAACCCATTAAGTGATGAGGAATGCTGGCCATTGCAGACATCCTGAGAGATTTGAAATCAAGGTGTCAAAGTGATATGAAATATCTCAAGTCCTATCTGGTAGGAGGATGCATGAGTGACCATAACAGACAAACAACATGGATTTGGCATCTGCAGCACACTGCCTACTACAGGCTGAGGCTCCTGTTGTTTGATAGGACTGAAATATCTGTCCTACAGTATCCTAGGATGAGCCCTAAAACTGAGCAGGAAAGTGCACAGACAAATCTGTTTGCTTTCCTACTTTGGTCAAAGGATCTCGTCTAGCAAGCCCCAGCAGTACTTTCAGTCTGATCTACTCACAGCACTTGTCAAGATAAAGTTTCTTCCAAGCATCAGTATTTTATAGAATTTATTTATTATAAGCATTTATACCCCATCCTTCTCACCCCCGGGGGGGGGGGGGGACTCATGGCGGCTTACAAAAGGCAACCATTAGATGCCGAACATTGTACTAACAATTAACACTAGCCAACAGTTAAACAATTAAAACAATTATAAATACTATTGCTGTATTTATTGTTCGAAGGCTTGACCCCAAAACCAGGTCTTAAGTTTTCTTCGGAATACCGGGGAGGGGGGGCAGATCTGATATCATTTGGGAGGGAATTCCACAGCCGAGGAGCCACCACTGAGAAGGCCTTTTCTCTTGTCCCCACCAGTTGCGCTTGTGAGGGTGGTGGGATCAAGAGCAGGGCCTCCCCTGATGATCTTAAAGCTCTAGATGGTTCATAGAGGGAGATTCGTTCAGACAGGTAAACTGAGTTACTCAGCCAAAATGTGCATGAGCAGTATCGATTGCATATGTAGTAATCCTTATCTGAGGCCTTTGCAACCAGCACAGAATGCTCATCTTGATGAGGATGTTTCTCAAGATCTGGAACTGTATGAAGGTCTAACGCCTGATTGTTGGCCCTAGGCATGCAATATTGCAGACACAGCATTCCTAGCATAACATAACTCAGCAAACAATATGGACCATGGAGTTTATCAGGCTCACTAAAAGATCAGCATAAAGCTGAATCTTTCATTTTTGTTTTTACACCAACACTGTCTGCTGTAATGGCAGCTGGCATTGTGCAGGTTCTGCTCCTCCTCCTGAAGATGTCACTAGATATTCTCCTCCCACAAGACCATAAGGAAGTAGGTTTTCAACTAATGTGCAGATAGCCTAGCAGGCAAGAGAACCTGTCCTGTGCTGTGACAGTCCAACGCCACCTGGAGGACTGCATTATTTCCACACATACAAATCTGTCCACATATAATGACAGTTTGTATTGTGTGGATTCAGTTACACACAATGAGTTGTTTTGGTGGAAACATACCATAATGTCATGCAAGAGCATCTAGAAAATGCCTAGAAGGACACGTCTCTAAGGCATGTTCTAGATCCTTCAGTAAAATTGTATGGCCAAATTCCACAACAAGTTACCGTAAAGTCGCACTGGATGACCTAGAAAATCTTCCTGGTCCTCCAGTATGATTCCATTGTAAGCTTTAGCCAGAAGCCCAAAATATCATTAATTTTATGTTCCAGTTTATTTGTGAATATCATTGCTCATTAAAGGGCCTGGAATGGATCCGTTGCATAATACATGATTGGATTGTATTCATTTTGAATGCTGTCTTTCAGGGCATAGCAATCAACTGAGGGAGGGGGAACTTTAGGTATGTATAGGTACCAATCCTTTCTAAATTCTCTCTGTGTGTGTGTCTTTTTCAACTTTTTAAGGGTGATGAGTGCAGTGAAGAATAACATTGGACGAGGTTTAAACCTTGCACTTGTCAATGGTGAGTTTTTCAAACTGAACAGCCTTCCAGCATGGTGTAGTGGTCTGAGGTTGGGCTACAACTCTGGAGAATCCCTGCTTGTCTACAAAAATCCACTCTGTGACCTGAGGCTAGCCAAATATTTCCAAGAAAACCCTGTGAAAGGGTCACCTTAGGCTCGCCTTAAGCCAGAAACAAATGGACTTGAAATGAGATTTCCATCATACATAGTGCTATGTTTTTCTCCTTCCTTTATGGCCTCCTCTTGTACTGAATACATTGAAGCCCATTTCACATGATATAATTATAACTTTGAATGCTCATCTTGATGAGGATGTTTCTCAAGATCTACTTTTATTGCTCCATCTTCTAGAACCATAATATTTGTAATTTTGTCAGGTATTTAGAATTTTCTGTAGTGCCTCAGAAAATTACAAATCCCAGTTATAAAAGTGTTAATAATTGCATAGTGGCCTGGATAAGAATTCGGTCTGGATCAGACATTCAGCTCCATGAAATATGTGCTGCTCTTGGGACATTCACAAAATGTACATTGTAGTTTGGAGAGAATCAAAGAGCTGAAGTTCTCTAAAACAGAATTCCCAGCCAATGATGATATATCCTCCTTGAACTTATCATCATGGAAACAAGAAAAGGTGGATAACCACGAACCTGGCTGAAATGAATAACTTCCAGTGGAAGATGTCATAGAGTTGTGCTGGAATAACTAGAAAATTCCTGGATATTGATGCTTTCTAGATTTTTGTAGCTTCTCCAGAACAACTCTATGGTAATTCCAACAACTCTATGATAACTTCCAAGAGAAGCATACCATAGAATCCCCTGGACAACCTCGAATATTCCTAGATATGATTTTTTTTGTCAAATGCAGGTAAGTAAAACCGCAGGTGCTGGTTCTGTGGATACATCCAAATAAAGCTTTCAGTGCTTCTGGAGGGTCCAGACATTGATGCAGCACAATCCAAAAACATTTTTTCTTAGCTTTTGGGCCTGTTCTTGGGATTATTTGGGGCACTGCTTCAGAAAATAGCATCAGATAGACCTCATCAGCTGAAGTTTCTTAGATATGGTTATCATGATTTTCTATGGGTGAGCAGATGGCGATTGGTATATGACATATGTTCTCTATCTAAAAAACTAGAGCTGATGGAGGAAACGTGCCATTTTTGGAATCAGCAGGTCAAATATGCTCAGAAACAGGTCTACCATTTGAGACACCAAAATGTGTGCTGGCCAGTGTAGTGTCCTATCTCCTTTGCTAATTTCCCTTCTATTCTCGATTCACGTATAGCTGCCATTGTGCTAAATTCACAGTCTGACGCAGAGCCTGAAGTGCACCTTCCCTCTTTTGCTCCTTACTTCCTTCTACAGCAGAACACAGCCAATCCCTTGTTATCATAAAGTATGGAGTATGCTGCTCTTGAAGGAACGGCATCTGGCAGATACAGTGGAAATTGGCACCATTCAGGTCTTAATAAATGTTCAGCTGTACTCTTTCTCAATGAGAGAGTAGGCAGGTTGAGCGAGGCTGTTGTCAACAGAGTTAATAAAGGTAAATGTGTCTGTCAAAATGACCATTTACCATGCTCAGCTACCAATAATTACCCACTACTTGTTAATCCATATATTGAACATCAGTGTAGAGAGGAGTCCTTCCACCTAGCAGCAATTAGCCACCCAGAAAGTAGCCTGCAAATGGGAAGGTTCCTCCAGGGAATCAGGCGAGTTCCACCTGCTGTGAGAATAGAGGCAAAGAGGGGAGGCAACAGCCACACCATTCTCCATTTAACAACACATTTCTAGCTCCTTAAAAAGAGAAAGGAGGAAGCAAGTACTTTGCAGGTTTCATAGGGGCGAATAGAAGAAGAGATGACAGTAAAGTAAGTGTGCAGATGCAGAATGGATAATAAGAGTCACCCTCCAAAGGTGCAACTGTGCCTAAATGAGCTGCTGAGATAATACTATAATGCTGTGTGAACTAAATAATCACAGCTGGCCCTCCACTTCTGAGGATTCAGTTATTTCCAGATTTGATTAATATTTTATATCTAAGAATCTCTAGGTGCTCCAATGCAATTCTGTGTTCAAACTCTAGCAGGCCTGGACGACCTAGAGCAGAGCTTTCCAAACATTTCATTTAGTGACACACTTCGCAACATTGTAATTCAGTTTTACTAACAAACCGGAGGTTAAACCGAGCCCTTATGAGAGATACAGACACATACCTTAATTGTAATAACAAAATATATGAGAACACAACATATTTCATGAAAATCTTTCATTTAGATTTTAAAAATAAAGGATTTATAAGATAATATACATTTCCAAGATTTGTGTCATTTCTCATTACATTCATGTGACACGCCTACACACTGCAGCCAACACAGTAATGTGCCATGGCACACTGTTTTTTGCATTTTCTCCACTTTCATGGGCACCCTGTGCCACTAACCCACATAAACATAAGGGGCATACTGTGTGTGTGTGCCAATATATAGAGGGGGGGGGGAGTTCTCTTGCTACTTCATGGTTCGCTTTATGCTGACTGGCTGTTTTGTGGATTTTGTATAATTATTAATATAAAATATTTACATTACAGCAGGCCTCAGAAAGGGCGTGTCCACTTCAGGAAGGTGCACTTCAGGTTCTGCATCAGACTGTGAATTTAGCACAATGGCAGCTATAATCACGTCCTGTCGCTTTTTTGTTGCTCATTCCGTCGGTGGCTCGGGCTGCGAACAGATGTGCTTTGTCCTCCTCCTCGTCCGAGCAGAGATGGGACAATTCCAGTGACAACACAAAAACACTTCTTGTTCTATGTCCAAAGCCATTCAAAATTTTACCTATACTCTACAACCTCTATATCCACCGCGGATATATTCCTAGACGTTATATGATATGTGAAATTCCCCTTCCTGAAAAGATCTGTGTGTTCCCTTAAAAATGATTTCATTTCTATTATCCAGGAACTACTGGACAACTCATCAAGGCAAGTGCCTTTGACATGTATTCTGGAGGTAGGTGTACTTGTTTATTTAATGCTGGCTGGCTTTCTTGTTCCATAAGGGGCATAGAAAATCTTGATAACTAAAATAATAGATGAGAACCATTTGATCCCCTCAAGGTCAAGTCTATTAGTCTGCTCATTCCAGTTGCTTGGAAAGTACTAACAGCCTGAAAAATGTTTGTGTGATTATAATTTGGTGCACATCTTTGTTCCAGGAACAATATATGGGCAAACAGTGCTTTCTTTGTGTTGTCACAGGCTTTCATGGCCAGAATCACTAGGTTGCTGTGAGCTTTCCGAGCTGTATGGCAATGTTCCAGAAGCATTCTCTCCTGACATTTCTCCCTAAGCTAACACCTCCCAACAAAGGATCCCTCCCAGGCAGCAATCAGCCAGGCTTTGAAGCTACAAGGCCATTAAATGTGAATCAAGCTGGCCAACTGCAACATTCACACTTGCCTCAAGCAGACAAGAGTTCTTTCTCCCACCCTGGACATTCCACAGATATATAAACCTCACTTGCCTAGTTTCTAACAGACCCCTCAACCTCTGAAGATGCCTGCCATAGATGTGGGCAAAACATCAGGAGAGAATGCTTCTGGAACATGGCCATACAGCCCAGAAAACACACAGCAACCCAGTGGTTTCTTTTTCCTCGCTTTTTTGAATGTTGTGGGTTTGAGAAAGAGTCAGTGTAGGCTCTGTGTCCAGCAAAAAAATCCTTTAATGGTTCTTTCTTTCAACCACTTGTCTTATGCTCTCCCTAAGACTTCCTTCTTTCAGTGTGGACTATGACTCTGGACATCAGGGTTCGAATCCAACTCAGTTGTGAAAACCCATTGAGTGGCCTTGGGTGAGCCTCAGAAGGTGGGCAAAGGCTCTTCTGAGGCCCCTCTAGTCAAATCCTGCCAAGAAGACCTGTAAGAGATTCCCCTTAGTGTTGCTATAAGTCCAAAATGATTTGGAGCCTCACAACAAGGTTTTGGATCTTTTTCCCACTGGTAAAAAGATCTACATCTCATGTAGAATCATAGAGTTGGAAGAGACCTCATGGGCCATCCAATCCAACCCCCTGCAAGAAGCAGGAAAATAGCATTCAAAGTACCCCCGACAGATGGCCATCCAGCCTCTGTTTAAAAGCCTCCAAAGAAGGAGCCTCCACCACACAGTCCAAGACAGAGAGTTCCACTGCTGAATAGCTCTCACAGTTAGGAAGTTCTTCCTCATATTCAGGTGGAATCTCCTTTCCTGTAGTTTGAAGCCATTGTTCCACATCCTAGTCTCCTATCTATCTATCTATCTATCTATCTATCTATCTATCTATCTATCTATCTATCTATAGAGAGAGAGTAATCCCTTGTTGGAGCAGCAATTTTTGACCAATTATTAAACTTGCTGGTTATGTGTTATCTGTATGTGTTATAACAGAACCACTAGATGGCAGGATAATAAAACAGCAATTCTGCTTCTTTTTTATTTCCTTTGTTAGATGTTAAAGATTTAATTGATTTTCTGAAACCTATTGACATTGGGACCCTAGTGCTAATCGCCTCCTATGATGATGCAGCCACAAAGTAAGTAGTAATTCAATCGCAGGGCTTGAATGTCTTTTAGCTGTGGAGCAATTATTTTACACGTGAGCTGTGAATCAGAACATCCCACTATAACTTCCCTGTAACTATGAATTTACTAGAGGGTCTGAGATGAGGAACTTTCTCTTTCTTTCCATCCAAGGGCCAAACTGGAATGAAGTGTTCTTTGTGCAATTAACAATTTAGTAATGTCTTTCTAAAAGGTAAATACTGTATAGACCAGCCATGGGCAAACTTTGGTCCTACAGATGTTTTGGACTTCAACTCTGGTAGGCTGTTAGGAATTGTGGGAGTTGAAGTCCAAAACAACTGGAGGACCAAAGTTTGTCCATGGCTGGTATAGGCTCATGCATAAGTCAAGAATTTTGATCTAAAAATAGAATTCAAACTCCTGGGTCAGCTTAATCACAGGTTACAGTGAGTGAGTACTGTCCCTTAATAAACAAAGATCTTAACTTTCTCCATGCTGCTCAAAGAAGGGGTTGGTTCTTCTCCTGATAAGAATACCTTACTTTAACTTTTATCCAAAGGGGGTGCTTTCCCCACTTCTTGGAATGATCCTTTACTTATCCACACATTATATCAAGATCCTTGATTTTGCCCCCAAAACCTACCTCAGCTTATACATGAGATTGGTTTATACAAAACTTAATCTAATAAATGCACAAATCTTAATGTGGATCGGGACCCTGGTATGATAATTGACATTCATAATTCTTCCCCTCTCCTTCCAACAGTTCTCCTTGCCTTGTCTTGCAGCACACAAACATACTGAATTACTTACTTAGACGATCTCTCGTAGCTCGAGAATGATGTCCTCCAAACGGAATGTCTTGGCAGTGGGTTTGTAGGTGGCTGTGGAGCCCTGTTCCTGATCCGCATATTCTCCCGCAGTGAGGACATTGTTTTCCAGGTGGAAGGCAGTCCTGATCAGGGTTGGCTTGATGCACCTTCCTCTTGGCACATTTCTCCTTTATGCTCTCCATTCATACCTCTTCGAATTCTGCAGCACTGCTGGTCACAGCTGACCTTGAATTAGAGCACTCAAGGGCCAGAGCTTCCCAGTTCTCAGTGTCTATGCCAGAGTTTTTAAGGTTGGCTTTGAGGCCATCTTTAAATCTCTTTTCCTGTCCACCAGCATTATGTTTCCTGTTTTTGAGTTCGGAGTATACTAACTGCTTTAGGAGACGGTGATCGGGCATTTGGACAATGTGGCCAGTCCAGCAGAGTTGATGGTGTAGGAGCATGACTTTAATGCTGGTGGTCTTTACTTCTTCCAGCACGCTGACGCTTGTCCGCCTGTCTTCCCAAGAGATTTGCAGGATTTTTCCCCTTTGCTAACTGCAGTTAGCAAAGGGGAAAGGAATTACCATTCACAATAGGGCGCAAAGAAGAAATCTGAGATAAGAGACCTACTTCTGCATCTGCAGACTTCTCTATGCTAGTCTTAAGTTATTTAGTCCTTCATTCCTGCTGTCTTTCTAAAGATGGATCAAGTCCTCGTTCTTAGGAGATCTGAAGTCAGCTAAGTGATTTATATTTCTACTGCTGTGAGCTTCCATGAATTACTAATGTTTCATTTTGAATAGTCTTTGGTACTTGACACTTTTGCATAGCTGATTGGAATGGGACTTGTGGGTCTGTGTAGAAAAGCTGTACAGAAAAAACAAAATTTTTCTCCTCTCAGGATGACTGATGAAGCAAGAAAGATGCTGACTGAACTAGGAAGCAGTTACGCTTACAAGCTGGGATTTCGAGACAACTGGATATTTCTTGGCGGAAAAGGACTCAAAAACAAAAGCCCATTTGAACAGGTACCTTCTTGTTAACTGTAGCCATAAATCCAAGTGACATTTGTATGCCCTGCCCTTACCCTTTTCCTTTCCTTTCCCCTTCCTTCCTTCCATGACAATGCTGCTGATATCCAGATTTTTATTTATCGTATCAGAAGTGAACCGAGGGTATATTTGTAATGTATTTAAAAAACACAAAGTTAAAAAAATTGGCATTGTGCTAAATGTCCTTTGACTACAAGCTGACCACTTGGAGTGCCTCTGGTGTTGCTATAAGAAGTCCTCCGTTGTGCATGTGGCAGGGCTCAGGCTGCATTGTAAAGGGTGGTCTGTGGTTTGCTCCTCGCCGCACTCGCATGTCATGGACCCCACTTTGCTTTTCGCCACACTCGCCTTTCATGGACCCCACATTTCTTAAGTTGGCTCTGCATCTCGTGGTGCCAGAGCAGAGTCTGTTCAGCACCTTCCAAGTTGCCCAGTCTTCTGTGTGAGAGAAGCCTTCTTGCAGGATTGAAACACATCTAGGCATCCCCTGGGCAACGTCTTTGTAGACTGATTCTCTCACACCAGAATGGACTTGCGACATAATATTCAGATAATACAATAATAATTTTAACAAAATTATTTATAACCTTCCCCTCTCCCCAAAGGGACTCAGGGCAGTTTACAGGAATTACAGAATAGCAAATCTTCAATGCCAAAACCAAATAGACAATCAAAACAAAACATAGAGTGAAATAAACTCAATATAACTTCTAACAATCAAACAAGAATTAACTCAGTGAACATAAAGCATAAAAGATCCTCTGTCTGACAAAGGATAGGGCAGATAAATTTCACTGCTAGGAGAAAACCTCAAGGACTTCATGGGTCAATGGCCTGACTCAGTATAAGGCTCATTCTTACATGCATTATGCCCAGCTGTAGGCAATAGAATGCAAGAAGTAGAAATAAGAACTATACTACACAATTGACTGTATTTGTTGTTTTACTTTCACAGTACTTGAAAAACGATAAAGAGACAAACAAATATGATGGCTGGCCTGAAGTTCTAGAAATGGAGGGCTGTGTCCCTAAGAAGCTGGAGTAGCAAAGAGACAAATTCAGATCAACCTATGGTCATCACTAATGGGACTTTTTGTCACTCTGCCTGAATCAGAGCTGGGAAGCAACAGCCTGCTGTATCTCAACCGACAGGGCAACAGACCCTCAATGCTTGCAGCTGCTGCTGCTTGGTAAACCAGGACTGGGGACTTTTACAATTCCTACATACTTCCTATGTTATTCAATGCACAGGGATGATATGTGTAACCCAGAGTCATGAAATAAGCACAACTATGAATTCCAGCCTTCTCTTTTTGCCCACACAGTTCAAGTGTTAGATTTCGATTTGGAGGATTCCCCCCTTTCACTTTCTCTTGTGCTTTTGTTATGTTTCTGGCTTAAGAGAAGTTGGGTCTTATCTTATTTTGTATTAATTTATCTTTCTCTAGATATTTTGAAAATGTTCTATTTTTAGTCTGCTTTTTAAAAGCTTTATAAACATAAGAAGAAACAAATAGGTTATTGCTGATGCCTGCTTGCTTGCCTTCAAAACACTTCTGACTTACGGCAACCCCAAGGCGAACTTACCATGGGGCTTTCCTGGATAGATTCGTTCAGAGGGAGTTTGCTTTTGCCTTCCTCTGAGGATGAAAGAATGTGACTGACCCAAGTTTATCATGGCCAAGCAGGAATTTGAACTAGCTCTTCCAAGGTCCCAGTTCAACCCAACAACAATGTTAGCTCCCAACAAAATAAAGATATATATTTTTTAAAAATCTCCAAAACCCATATCTATTGCAGGCATCCTCAGAGGTTGTGAGGTCTGTGGGAAACTAGGCAAATGGGGTTTATATATCTGTGGAATAATGTCCAAAATGGAAGAAAGAACTCTTGTCTATTTGAGGCAAGTTTTAATGTTGTGATTGGCCACCTAATCAGCATTGAATGGCCTTCACAGCCTAGCTGATTCTTGCCTGGGGGAAACCTTGGTTGAGAGGTGATACCTGGCCCTGATTGTTTCTTGTCTGGAATTCCCCAGTTTACTTAGTGTTGTTCTTTATTTACTGTCCTAAGTTTGGGTTTTTTTTAATACTGGTAGCCAGGTTTTGTTCATGTTCATGGTTTCCTCCTTTCCATTGAAAGCCTGGCTGCAGGAAGCAGCCAGGCTTTAAAGCTGCAAGGCTATTCAGTGTTGATCAAGCTGGCCAATTGCAACATTCACATTTGCCTCAAATGGACAATTCTTTCTCCCACCCTAGACATCATTCAACAGGTATATATATAAAGCCCACTTGCCTAGTTTCCAAGAGACTTCATAACCTCTGCGGAAGCCTGCCATAGATGTGGACGAAATGTCAGGAGAGAATGCTTCTGGAACATGACCATGCAGCTTGGTAACCGAGTGATCCCAACCATGAAAGCCTTCGACAACACAACCCGGTGATTCTGTCCATGAAAGCCTTCGAAACACAATATTATGTAGTATAACTTTCAGTAAAGGATTGAGCTATCAAAGAGGTTCATTTTTGTGGATTTTCGTTGTGACAGCAACAGCAGACAAAGCTCCTGCTGGCACACTTTTGTCTTGTTGGCATAGGCTATATTTCGGAACTGGAAATAGTTACTTCGGAAGGATGAACGTTCACTGGAAAACACTGCTATGCTGTATACTAAAAAAAAACTTCAGTACAGGGCCAATAATTCAACCCACAGTTTTCTTTTCTAGCCAGCAGATGGAAATCTTTCCTTAGGAAGAAATAAGAGGGAGGGAATGTTAGGCTGTCTGTCATTGTTGGAGAAAAAATACAGGGTACACACAAGAATGTACATGCTTAAAAGTGCAGGTGGTTAAAATATAAATAACAGGGGGAAGGTATATGAAAAACATGTTAATAATGAGGGCATGTGCATAGTTTTGAACTAAATGACTCAAATAAATGTAGAAATTATGGCAAATGTGTTTGTCATGCTTATACATTTCAGTATAAAGAAGACAAAAAGCTTTGCAACCTCATACAAATCAAAGATGAGAAGAAACCCAAACAGGATCTGGAGAAACTCAATAAAATTAAGCCTGTTTGATTTAATCCATGTGCGTTCTACATTCAAGTCCTCTGAAAACATATGGCGGGCCCATGAATTTCATAGGGTTTTCCTAGTTTCATCTACACTGCCATATAATCCAGTTTCTGATCCCAGATTAACTGCACTGAACTGGATTAAATGGCATTGTAGACTCTTATAATCCAATTAAAAGCAGATAATCTCGGATCAGATACTGGAAGGTAGATCAGTGTTCAACCTGAGCAATGTGGAGTGGACAAGATAACAGAGGATATGTAACCCAAAAAAGGTAATGAAGTAGTCCAGGAATACCTGGCTACTCTAAATGAAGGGCCAGAGGATCTACATCCATGAGTACTGAAAGAACTTAAAGAGCTGTGTCTGTTTAGCCTGCAGAAGAAGGTTGAGAAGAGACATGATAGCCATGTCTAAAAAATTGAAAGGATGTCATAAAGAAGAAAGGGCAGGCTTGTTTTCTGCTGCCCTGGAGACTAAGATTACAAATTACAGGAAAGGAGACTCCACCTGAACATTAGGAAGATCTTCCTGACTGTGAGAGCTGCTCAACAGTGGAACTCTCTGCCTCAGAGTGTGGTGGAGGCTCCTCTGTGGGAGGCTTTTAAATAGAGGCTGATTAGCCATCTGTCAGGGGTGCTTTGATTGTGCTTTTCCTGCATGGAAATGGGTTAGACTAGATGGCCCATGCAGTCTGTTCCAACTCTATTATTCTAGTTTTGAGAACCACTTTGCTTCCACGGGGGAGTAATGCAATGGTCCTGTGGTTTGTACAATCTCTTGTGTTCCCTTTTTGGGAGACTGGGATGTTTACTGTAGACCATGGTTTTATTTTCCATATTTGTTGACATATTTTAATTGAAAGACCACAGATTCTTGAAAGAAACTGGAACATTTTTTAAGCAGCTGAAAAAGTGGGAGAGCAGAGTATTAACCGAGACTGTCCCTCTCAAATCGGGACAGTTGGAGAGCATATGCCACTCCAATAAGCTACTATCAGGTAGGCTTGTATGCGGGTCCATTTTAGCCATTTTCCTTCAGCCAATTCAGCTTCTTCGGCTTGGTTGGATGGGTGTAACGACAAGGGCCCAGCCATCATAGTTTCCTGTCTGTAACAGGACCACATGGCAGCCTTTGGTGGCTCCACCTCCATTTTTCGAGTGCTTCTCCTCACACTGGGTTTCCCTGTGAGCCCTGCCTGTTCGGCCAATTAGAGTAAAAGAACATTGTGATGCGTCTTGTGCAAGCTGTGTCTGCTTCCTTAACCCCATTGCTGAAACACAGGCTCCCTTGAAGGAAAAAAAGGAAAAGGTCCCGGAATGGAAAGGGGAACCTTCCTAAATTCCTGATTGCCACCAATGGGGCAGATCTAGCCATATTTTTGGCTGCTGAATGAAAATGACTATCTGTCTACCCACCCGTTTTTGGGAGGTGTGCGAAAATGGATACAGGGGTCTACCGGAATTCAACGAGTAGAAACAGATTGAGGTTCAGCCGAAATGCACGAGCATTGGACCACCGGTGATGCAGCAGGTTATTTATATATTTATTTGCAACATTTAAAGCCCACCTTTCTCAACCATGCGGTGACTCATGGCGGTTTACCGATTGGCACAATTCAATACCATGCATTCATAAAAGTGTGATTAAAAACAGTCAACATAACAATATAAAACATATATAAAAACCATTAAAACATATAGTCACCAATGTCATCTTGTTAAAACTGTTTTCCAGTAACATAGTCTGGCCATTCCATGTTCATCATCCATAGTTTCATGTTATCTATTCCTCTGCATTCTCAAAAGCTTGCTCAAAGAGCCAAGTTTTTACCTTTTTTCAGAAAGTCAGGAGGGAGGGGGATGATTTAATACCCCTGGGGAGAGAGTTTCATAGCTGAGGGGACGAGGGAAGAAGGCCCTTCCCTTGTCCCCATCAATCAGGGTTGAACCGCTGAGCTGCTGAAATTGCTGGCCAAAAGGTTGGAGGTTCGAATCCAGGGAGTGAAAAGAGCTCCTGCTGATAGGCTCAGCTTCTGCCAACCTAGCAGTTTGAAAACATGCCAATGTCAGTAGATCAATAGGTACCGCTTCTGCGGGAAGGTAAACGCGCTCCATGCAGTCATGCTGACCACATGACCTTGTCTACGGACAACGCCAGCTCTTCGGCTTAGAAATTGAGATAAGCACCACTCCCCAGAGTCAGACATGACTAGACTTAGTGTCAGGGGAAATCTTTACCTTTTTATTACCAGGAAGTGCAAAGCATCTTGTAGGCTGCAATACTATACCTGCTTACCTGGAAATAACTTTTTCTAACTTTATGTGCATATTACTGCCCTGCAAAAGAAGTATATATAAAACCATAGACAGTACAGAGGCCAACATCCATCCCCTGGGCTTCTTTTGTTCCATGGCTATGGCTTGCTTCCTTCACATTATACAACTCCATGGCTTAAGCTCCTTCTCTGTAGGCATTAGAAAGAATTGGGGTGGGGGGTTTGTTAAGAAATCTCTTGGCAGTCTAATCTCATAAACCAAGCCATGGCTCGTGTTTGGTCAGCAGGAGTAACCCAAGTTCTCAGCCGTGTTTCTTTCTCCAGTTCTTTTACCAAAGCTGCATTGAGGTGAGGCACAAGTGGAGCTGCAGGGGGCCTGCTGGGGGAAAATAGATGGCACAAATCCCCATGCCAGGAAGGAGCCCAGCTCTCATGCTGCGCCCGCTGTTGGGGCACAACTGTGCCGCGCAGGTTGGACTCTTCCCTCAGATCGGCTCTGCATTCTGTGTGACATCTTGCTGTGTCAAGTCTGATTACTCTAATCTCCAACAGGCTTTCACAATGAGAAACTCTGCTTAGAAGCTGGGCATCAGCAGCATGAAAGCTGCCTTTGTGCCGATTCTTTGGCAGTGTACAAGCTGGCTGTTAGGTGTATAAGGGTGAAAAAAAATGAATTCTTTACATGCCTTCCAAAAGAAAACTTTTTTGCTTATCATCACGACTTTGAAGATCTGGTGGTTGCTTTTCTGCCCCTCTTACTCAGCAACTAAATGGGAGTGCATGGAGCTGCGTGTTGGTGCCCTTTCCTGCAATGGAAGCAAGATGTGTCTGTTCACATACAGTGGCATGAAAAGCATGGCAGAATAATAAGGACCTGTTGAGAGTGCAACCTCTTTTTCTCTGCCATACAAACATATACTACAAAACCAAGGACTTTAAAACTGCTGCAAGGGGACAACTCTGAACTCCTAAAATCATGGGAGCAACTCACGGGAAGAAGGTAATGGTGACTTTATGCTGTATGTTTATAGTCTAGTAGCTTTGGTTCCAAGTATTCTGGTCTCGTATGTGGCCAAAGGAGCATCCTTCTGTCCAGTCTTTGGAATGGATTAGTCATGTTGGTGGAGAAGGGGAGGCAAGAAAAAGTTTCCAAAAGTCATTTGACAAGAACAGGATGGACTTGAAACTGACAACAACTGCATAGGCAGTAATGCTGTAGTTCAGCCCCTCCTTGGGGTCAGTTTTGTAAAGGCTGCTCCACATTCATATGTGGCACACGTAATGTACTCCTAAGTGATTTTATGAACTGTAGATTTCCAAGATTTTCATCTTATTAGAGGTTCTGAGTTTGGTCAATTAAAATTTTGAATTTGGGTCGGGGTCTCAAACTACCTTCTTAAAAAAACAACTCTGAGATGCACAGTCATGATGTTTGGATATTATTTCTCCATCCTTGTTTATTGCTCAATGTGTTATATATATTTAATCGTGGAAGTTCAAAATTCACTTGAAGTGAAAAGGATGAGAAAGCAGGGGAAAGCTCTTATTATTTATTGTTGTGTGGATACTTATAGTGATCATTCTGAAAAAGGACAAGTTGGTGCTAGCCCTATTTTGGGGGGGACAGAAGGGACCAGGGACAAAATATTTTCTGTGTATGTCATCTTTGTTTTGTCGAAGGCTTTTGTGGACAGAATCACTGGGTTTCTGTGGGTTTTCCAGCTGTATGGCCATGTTCCAGAAGCATTCTCTCCTGACATTTTGTCTACATCTATGGCAAGCATCCTCAGAGATTGTGAGGTTTATTGGAAACTAGGCAAGTGGGGTTTCTATATCTGTGGAATGTTCAGGATGGGAGAAAAAACTCTTGTCTGCCTGAGACAAGTGTGAATGTTGCAATTGGCCTGCTTGATTGGCATTGAATAGCCTTGCAGTTGCAAAGCCTGGCTGCTTCCTGCCTGGAGGAATCCTTTGTTGGGGCCCTTCCCACTCTTTAATGATACTGCTGTTATTCAAACCCTACACAATTGAAGTGCATCTGTGTTTTCCTTCCTCTTGGAGCTCAGAACATCTGGGTCTTTGTGGTCTGAATCTCCTCCATCCTCACCTCCTCTTCCCTCTAACAAGATGGAGCAGCTGCAGTGTCTGTGGATAATGGGAGGTTTGGGGTGAAGGACAAGAGCAGTTTTCATTCAAAGTCCATTTTTGGATGTGCCCCATCCAAAAAGGAACTTGTTTGCACGAAAGCTGCACTGATATATGCCATTAACAGGATGTCAATCAATATGCACCAAGAGGAAAGTCCAAGTGCTGTTCCACTTCCTCATTCCTGCCATTGCTTGCATTGTTTGAATATAGCAGGCCAGGAGACAGCAATATCAAAGAGGATCAGAACCAGGAAAGTTCAGAGCATAACAATGGGTCCCCTGCTAAGATGTGGACTTTGGCAGGCATCCCACAATGCCACCCCCTGGCCCAGGTCCTGAGGAGAAAAAACAAATGGGCAGTTAGGAAGCCTGAATCCAGTGTGAACAAACAGGGGTTTCCGTGCTTGTGGGATTTCTGCATGTTCAAGTGTGCATCTGCATGTACACACACAGAGAGATGTACAGAGTCACAATCTTCTTGTGAGCCTGGCAAAAAAACAAAACAACAAATGTTCTTCAGGAGTGGAGAAGAAGGAGGTTCTCTCATTTTACAATCTCCATGAATTGGTAGTATTTATTGCCATCTTCCTCCCAGTCCCAAGTTATAGCACAGGCGGTGTATTTGTATTGATGCTTTTGAGGCTCCAGACTTGCACATATCAGCTGGGATAAAGGCAAGAAGAGACCATGTAGCACTGCCACTTGCAATCTCAAGTGTGAATAGATGCAAACTACAGAGAGAACACCCAGCAATGTCTTAAGTCTGAACTACCACAGCACAAAATCAGTCTTCCAGTGGGGGGAACTCAACACATAATTATGAGACAACTGTTTTTTTAATTTGTCCAAGTTTCTGTTTCTGTCTAAAGACTATTTTTGTATGAATTTTGTGAAATTTCACTCCCTGAAATCTGTTCCTTGAGGAAATCAGGGGGTCTTTAAAAAAATCTAGATGTCCATGTGTACATCTAGCAATACAGGAATGCAAGCAATACACACCTGCCATCTGGTTCTGAGCATGTAGTCACCAAACCCAAAATGAAAGAGAGAAGAGAAAATGGTTAAACTACAATAAGAATAAGCTTCTGATGATGAGACCAGATACAGAGAAGAAACGGAAATGGCATAATGCATTGGGACAATAGTGCTAAACTTGCTGATGCAGTTATCTTCTACCAGGCTGATGTAATCATTTGTTGGCAAACGGTCAGCATAATGATGGTCAGAAATGACCTTATATAAATGGCCAGTAAAATTCCATTCCCCACAAGGTGATTAGAAGAGCAGCTAATGGCCACTTGCGATAGCTGGAGATAAGATGAAGGAGATGCTTAGAACAGCATAAAATTTTTCATCGCTACAAACATTGAAATCTAGCTGTTTCTGAAAACTTTTATGGTATCCTTGGTTGACAATGAACCATTCAATGTTAGTAAGAGGGGGATTCTATTCTTAATATGCTATATTATAAACTATAAATATATAGATGTTTATGTTCCCCTATGAAGTGGTGTGGAGTGAAAATTGCTGGAAGAAACATTAACAACCTTAGATATGCAGATGACACCACTTTGATGGCTGAAAGCGAGGAGAAGCGGAGGAGCCTTCTAATCAAGGTGAAAGAAGGAAGTGCAAAAGCTGGGTTGCAGCTAAACATCAAAAAAACAAAGATTATGGCAATAAGAATGACTGACAACTGGGAAACAGATGGAGAAAACATGGAGGCAGTGACAGACTTTGTATTTCTAGATGCAAAGATTAGTGCAGATGCAGACTGCAGCCAGGAAATCAGGAGACGCTTACTTCTTGGGAGGAGAGCAATGCCCAATCTCAATTAAATAGTGAAGAGTAGAGACATCACACTGACAACAAAGATCCGCATAGTTAAAGCAATGGTATTCCCCATAGTCACCTATGGATGTGAGACCTGGACCATAGGGAAAGCTGAGCGAAGGAAGATAGATGCTTTTGAACTGTGGACCATGTGCCTTGGACCATGAAAAGATCCAACAAGTCCATACTTCAGGAAATAAAGCCCGAGTGCTCACTGGAGGGAAGGATAGTAGAGGCAAAGATGAAGTACTTTAGCCACATCATGAGAAGAAAGGAAAGCTTAGAGAAGACAATTATGCCATGGAAAATGGAAGGAAAAAGGAAGAGGGGCTGACCAAGGACAAGATGGATGGATGGGATCCTTGAAGCTACTGGCTTGACCTTGAAGGAGCTGGGGGTGGTGACAGCCGACAGGGAGCTCTGGCAGGGACTGGTCCATGTGGCCACAAAGAGTAGGAAACAACTGAATGAATGAACAACAACAACATGAAATGGTGTATAGAGATGCCTGGTAAGGATAAAGTGGATTATGTGAAGAATTCTTTACAAATAGAAGTCTATATGGGCTATGTGTTAAAATGAGAGGTTATGTGCCCACATAAATTTTATTTATTTATTTATTTATTTATTTATTTATTTATTTCCAGTATTTCTACCCCATTCCTTCTCAACCCCCGAAGGGAGACCTAGGACAGCTTACATTTGGCAACAATTCCATGCCACTACATGTAACAAAATAGTATAATAACAATTAAACAATAAATAGAATATTCATTAAGAACAATAAAACAGTAAAAACAATTAAAACAGTAAAAAACCCGTATCAACTGCTATATCATCATTCCAATAGAATTCCATAACTAAAGTGCTATTTATGCCTGCTGTCCAAAAGCCTGGTCATGGGATGTTTCTCTCCCATGAATATTTGTGTTTATTTGCCCATTTTAATAAAATAGCCTAAAAGATTACTAAATTATTTGCTCATTCTCCCATAATATCCTGAAATTCCTACACTTAAGAGGACTGCTGATGCTAAACTTACCTACTTAAGACTGTACCATTGCTCAGAAGATAGGAGTCCAGGTAAGAAGAAGACAATGAGAGGGTTCTCCAAACACGTACATGGTTGGGTTGTTGTAGGTTTTTCGGGCTTTATGGCCATGTTCTAGAAGCATTCTAGATAATTTAGTAATCTTAGTGATTTAGTAATCTTAGTGATTCCGGCCATGAAAGCCTTCAACAATACATTGTGCATACCTGGTTCCTGACAAATGTCAATAAACCATCAGTCCCTCCATCTAAAATGGTGGGGTGAAGAACCATACTTGTTTCAGCTGGAGCCATGCAAATCTGACCTTGACACTTGGTACCAACCAAGTGCAGGACATTCTTTTATGCTACACAATTATAGCACTATGTTTTCTCTCTTCTCTTGGCTGGGAGGTACCTGGGTTCCTACTTCTACTCCTCTCCCCCAGCAGTAATTAGCTGTGGCAGTATAATTTTCTGTTTGGAATCTGTTGGAAGGGGAACACAATGCACAAACAGTTGACAGAGAGGCAAATTGTCCTCAGCCCAGAAAACCTACTATTTTGATGAGAGGCCATTTCTGAGCTAAATTATACATTTTCAAAACCCCTAAGCTTCTTGGGAGAATATGTCTCCATTCATAGTAGAGCACAGCTTTTTCTTTGTTTGCTGCCATACAGAATAGTTTTGAACCAGCCCTAGAAAGTTTGTTGGTTTGTTTAATTTGGAAAATAATACAAAAGTAGGAGTGCTCAATTATCAGGATGTGGAACCAATTATTGACGCATTCTGAAATGTCAGTTTTCCAGCTCTGTTTAAACTAGTGATACAGCCCTGCAATAAAACAAAAAGTCTAGTTTATTTATCGTGTCAGGAGCAGACCAAACAGTTGCGTTGCATTTTTTAACAAACAAAGAAACAGACAAAACACAAAGTTTGCAAGCTTGGTAGTTGATTAAATGTCCTTTGACCAGTATCTGGCCACTTGGAG